TTATGATTCTTTCCAGTTCCATATATTATTAATTATTAATGTTCTTAATCTTTCACTTTAGTGAGCGGTAATAAATACTGGCACTGCTGCCCCTCATTTCATTTACTTTAAAGCCACCCTCCCTCTAAGCCACCTTTCTTCTAATTGGCTGCCCCTAACAAAGAGAAGGTTTTGAAAAGGAGGTGGGCCTGAGTGTCTGAGATGATATTCAAGACATCCCATATTACTGATATTATGTAAAGAGCATGAAATAAACTGCTAAATGAAGACTATTCTTACAAGTATATTTTGAAAAACCCTCACTTTATATTCACCATAAAAATAGATTTTTGTTACTGCTGTAAATCAGTACTTATGTAGTTTGTATTATTAATAAACACACAAAGAAATTAAATCATATATTAAATCATATGGTATATATTTCCCTCTTGTCCTGGTTTTATTTCCACAGTTTACAGTGTGCATGTTAAATCAATCTCTCATTCCCACTTCTCCCTCCTGGACAAATCTAATCTGTACAAGCACACCACTGTAGAAGCAGCAAAAGATGCAGATGAAATACATTCATTCTTGTTGGGACCGTTTTCTCCTGGTGCTCATATCATAAATTACAGTTAAATTCTCTCCCTAATCAAGGTTTGATTCTTCACCATAGCTTGCAATATCCAAAAATGTCACTGTGCTAAATGTTGTATCTTGACAGCCTCTAGGTTGCTGTTGGGGCCCTTGGATGACCTAACATTCCTTTGGAGAGGGCACAAGTAATACACTGACAAATGTCAATCGAGGTCTGGGCTTCTATGCTTAGGCTGCTGCCTATGCAACTAGAGAATGGAAAACTTAGTGTAGACTACTTCAAAATTTTATGAAGCAAAAAAATGAGTTATTGAGTTTGTGGAACGAAAACAGGATTGTACTGTATGGAATAAGTCATTGAGCTTTTGTCTCAGACCTCACAACCTGGGAGCTTTAACCTCCCCTGCATCAGGCACTTTGATCTAAACCTGGAGCTGAATACAATCTCATTTTTCATCTTTTCGTCTTACATTAACAAGATCAATCACGCCGCGTGCCTTCAGAAGGGAATGTGGTTTGTTTGATGTGCTGCAATAGTCAACCCCCACCTTCCCTTCTCCTTCCGTTGCCTCTACAGTGACTTCAACAGAAGCTGAACCAACTAATTAGAAGGCACAGAAAGTCAATTATGATAATAGTTTCCCTTTTCTGGGGGAGGTGGGAAGTCAGCAAATCCAGCTACTCTTATTGCACTTCTTTGACGTACTGTTATATATATTTTATTTAGGATTCATTTAGAAGTGCAAATTGGTTTCTGAAGTACAGAGGGCAAACGGGGTAGAGAAGAAGCCCTTTTAAGAAATGAAGCGCTGGTTCCAAAGCTTCGGCAGGGAGTTGAGCAAAGTGATGATGACGGAAGGGTAAACCTAGCGTCAGGAGACCACAGGAATCCCTCTTATTCATGCAGCAGCTGAGCTTCAGGGAATCTCTTAGCCTCATTATTAAAGTGCGTATGAGTATTTGCAGAAGCTCACACAACAGTGGAGCTCTTGCTTGAAAGCCTCTGCTTATCCACTCTACTCTGCTCCCTTCTTCATCTTCTTTTTAGATCAGATCACTCCAGGGAAGCAATGTCATGCTTCATTCATCAAGACGCCTCTCCCTCTGTCCTTAATCCATCTGTCTTTTTTTAAAGGGAGCGCTTGACTATAAAAAGTTTGTGTCACTGGTATGGAACGAAGCAGATGTCTAAGCTGGGGATTGCATTTACTGGTCAGCTGTTTTTTGTGCCAGTGAGACTGGCAAACCAAGGAGTGAAAGCTCTGGGCCACTGTGAGGCTATATATATGTATATATAACATACAACCCCAATTCTAAATAAGTTAGGATGCTGTCTACAATGTAAACCAATAACTTATGAATCTCATAAAGCCACATTTAACCCCAACTCTCACAACAGACCATAGAAAACATATAAAATGTTTAAATTGAGAACATTTGAAATTTCAAGAAAAATCTCATTTTGAATTTGATGGCAGCTACACGTCAGAACGGGCAAGTTTAGCACTGCATAGCATTCAAAATCTTGCACACAGAGATTTGCTATAAATGATGAGATATTCTTTGCTATTTCACATTGTGAGACAAATGCTGTTTTTTCCTGAGTAGTGAACCCATTTTTATTTCGGACAGTCTTTGCCTTTCTAAGATGCACTTTTTTATATCCAATCATGTTCTCAAAAGGTTGATTCTGCTCATCTGGACGTAGCGTTTTCAGTGGGAGAAACGTTTCTCGCTACGTCCAGATGAACAGAATCAACCTTTGGAGATTTGCTTACCTGGATGATTGAGAATGCATCAAAACCTCCAGTTATGTTGCTGACCTGTTGCCGAATTAATTGAATTAGTTGCAAAATGTTCCTCCAGCTGTTTTCTTTTTAGTACCACTTACTTAACCTACTTCCAAACATTTTTGAGATGTGTTGCTCATATAAAATGTTAAATTAGCATATTTTTTAATGAAATAGTAACATTTATGAGTTTAAACATTTAATATGACATCGGCACTGGATCCTTTGGGTCTCAGTCCATGGATGGGATTTTCATAGACTTATTGCAGTGCTTGGTTGGATTAAAGTCTGGGTCAAAGATTTGGACTCTTTGAATGGATCAACAATGCAACAAAGTGTTGCCAAGGAGTTCTATTGTTGTTGGTCTGCAACAAAGTTTATGTGGATTTTATGTGTCCAAGTAATATCTACAATTGACAGCATCAACGTTCTCCCAGAGAATAATTTCACTCTGAGATGATCAGTGTTAGTCTTATTGGTCTGGTGTCAATATCCTTGGTGCACTTTCGGTATGCCATTTTGAAGATGTTTTGAAAGGGGACAGATTTTTTTTTTAAAGAAAACCAGAGGCAGCATAGTCTAATTAACCACAAGTTTAACTGACTATGGTGGAAACTATTAGTGTGTTAAACAGTCATAATTTCAGAAAGAAAATCCACATTTCCAGGTAGTACTGTGGCTTTTAAGAAAGTAGGGCATAGCAGTAGTGACAAATTCCAAATGGCCATGGGGTTTAGCAGACAGGCAGTGATACTTATTTTCATTTTGCTCTATACATAGATGCTACTCAGGCATACAACTTCATTTCACCATTGCTTTGCAGCACTTTCATTTCCTGCAGTATTTCCTTCACTTTAAAGATTGCCCCCGATGCACCAGCTCATTTCAGAAATGGACCCTATTTGTAGTGCTCCCTCATATGACGCCAGCTCATAACTGCGTTGCACTCGCAGATTCATGTTTGTACCGCCTTCCCCGAGCCCATATGGAGATGAAAAAGAGCCAGGCCTTTTTACTTGAGCTCGGTAGCCACCGTTAAATTGACTGGGTTGACCCCGTGGCATGAAATTAAGGAGCTGAGGCCCATTGAGCAGCCCAGCTGATAGAGGCAGAGGATAATAAATCCAGCGGAGGGAGGTTAAAAAGGAGGGAGGAGGGGATGGATGTGGCAGACCATGTAGCCTCAGGGACACACCACATCCCTTTATTAGAATAGCTATTTTCACCCTCCCTTTTCCCAACCAGTCCACTCATTGAGCAGAAGCACCAACATGCGCGCGCATTAAAAAACTCTGTCATGTCTGTTTGAGCTCTCTCACTTTGCTCTTTCATAATATGGGAAATAGAGCCAACGATATGTGCAGCATGGTGTCATATTTGCACAGAGAACTGTGTGCCCGCAGACCTGAAGCCTGTTCATTCATATTAAAGATAAAAAAGCAGACTATTGAACTTTTGTTGGGGGATATTTTCCACTGCTGATTTGGTGTTGTCAAAGCATAATTAATCAATTATTATGTACCACAGGCTTTTAATGTATCTGTTTTTTTGTGCACAAAATGTTGTAACACACACACACACAAATGAAATTGAGTTGAGACAAATTACAAAGGAAATGTTCGTCATTTATGATGATTTGTTTTGTGAAGACTGTTCCAAAGGCAGAAACATACAAGCCCTAACTGTGTACTATGATGTATACAGTGTGTTTATGTGGCTTTCTTTGCTTGAACAGTGAATATGTCTTTGCTTGTCCTCCCATGTGAGTGACAGTGGCATGGAAAAGCACGAGGAGAGCAGGAGGGACTGCAAGATAAACCACAAAGTTGGCAGAGTTTCATGCAATCCAATGCAACGCTGGCGCAAAGGGAGCGCGTTTTCTGAGGGATTTTCATAACCCTCGCCGTTATGAATTACTGCTTATGTAATCATCTGCTCTCTGCTAAGGTCTGCCTGGCTGCCCTTCAAGCATCCACACTGGTCCGTGCATCAAGAAATAAGAAAAGGGCTGAAAAATGATGTGACGACAGATCTGAAAACCGCAAGCATCCACTGCTGTCAAACGCACAAGACGCTGCTAAGATGCTGCATGACAGTGCTGCTCAAACGGTTTTGTAGCTTCTATACAGCCCACACATAACGAGAGGAAGAAGCCCTTGAAAAGCCAATTTGCTTTAAATTAAAACACATGAAAAGTCCACAAAAACAGAGATCCACAGTCCTGTGTGCGTCACTCTTTAGTGGGTAATACATCCATTCATTTCTTAATTGATCTACAGTATAAGGTCTGGTTGCCTGCCTATCTCTGTAATTATTAGAAGATACTCATCTTATGCAGATTTAATTGTTTTGGCTTAAGCTCAAAGTTATAATCCTGCTGTGATTATAGTGAAATTTAACCCTACCACTTTTATTGCCATCTGTTCATTTTGACTCAATGTCGTGTTTCCTTTCGCTCCTACAGGATTTTGAAGACGCAGTCGCTCGAATGGTATTACAATAATGTGAAGAGTCGCTTCAAGAGGTTCGGCAGCGCCAAGGTTTTGAAGACTCTGTATAGAAAGCACATCATCGAGAGAGGAACGTTCTCTGATCTCCCAGGTAAGTACATTCCTGCATATTATGATGATTTTTTTTTATTGCCATATATCTTTTTTAACCCTGTGATTGTTCCCTTTGGCATCATTTTGATTTCAGATACAATCTTTCTTTGGCAGCGTCCGCATCTCGCTGTGATTAAAGCAGTTTGCTGGAAAGATGATCAAAAAAATTGAGATTCTTGGTTTTGGCCAGACATTAAGAGTAAACGCAGCCAAGCTCACTTGATTGCTCATTAGTCCGCGTTGTTAAATGGTCACTCGCTTTGTTTCACGCGTTTTTGCCGTCTCGTGTAATGAGTTGCCTAATTGTTTTGTCATCGGTAACAAAGGTTTTGTCACACACATGCACGTCTTCAGCTCAAGCGAAACCTGCCGCTGCGCATCCTTTGACTCTTCTTTAGTTGTTTTGAGAAATCTAGTCTCTCAAATGACTCTCTTGGTTTTGTTGAAAATACTTCTGCACCTATGAACTGGCCTTTCGTGCAAGTGGGTGAGTCACTGCTGCTGCTGCTGCTGGTGCTCACGAGTGTTGGAGTTGGTAATGGTCATGGTTAAGATACCCTCCGGAAAAGTCCTGCCACTTAATCTCAGGCTCAGGTCACTTTGCTTCTTGTATATACCAAAACATTAATTTTTTTCTCCCAGCCTTCCTCTGCTTCACGTAACATTGTTTTGACCAGGCTGCACCATGATCGGGCTGCACCCTGTGGCTGACAACAAGGCATTATTTCATATCCTGGTACATGGGATTAAATGGAGGAAAAGAACACAGAGGGGATAAATCAGGTCAGAGTTGAGGCACGATTAGATGAGCTGAGATGTTTAGGGAATACATCAAGTTTATTTTGTCTGGAATTTCTAAAGTGATTTGCGAGGCACAATGAATATCACAGCCAGAAGGAATTATATCTGCAACTATGTAACGCACACAGTAGAGGACTTTAGCTATAGTACTACAGCCTGCAATGCAACTTACATTAATTATTACTGTGGCGTTATTGTTGTTTCCTTTTAATGGGATTGGCCAAATTCTGCATGACAAAGATCTAAAAGTATGATGTCCAGAGCAACGATTGCATGTCTAATGTCTATATGTCTAATAACATGGTGACAATTCAGTTTAGCAACTATATGGTGTTATTAAAAGCAATAAAATGCTGGTTTTTAAAGCTTGATCGCACAGCTTTGATGGGACTGTTTTGTTTTTACATCCGCAATCTGTGCATCAATCTTACTCTTAAAAAAAACAAAACTAAGTATGCAGTTACTCAGTGGCTTCCACGCATGTTTGACATTTTGCAGTTCATTTCTATCATTTTCACAGTAGGGTGTCCTTCTGGGAGAAGTACAAAGCTTTCATGGTTTTTATTTTTTTGGTTGTTGTGACTGTAGCTTTTATTTTGGTATGTGAGTGGACAAAATGATCATCCTTGTAAACCTCTAGTTGTTTGATTTCCTCTCCACTTCTCTCCCCTGTAATCATCGATCCTCCTCCCCATTCTGCTTGCACTGGGTCCTCTCCTCTCCTCCATCTGGGGAGGAGGAGGAGGGATTATGTGACTCTGCTCATGGTCTTCCAGCTTGCCTGAACCAACCAGTAGATTACACCGCTTCCAATTCTCAAATACCCACTCACACCCACTCCCAGTAACTGGCTAACGGACTGCCCATATGATATGGATATGCTGTGACGTGTGCAGGCCATTCAGGTTCTGTGTGTGTGTCTGGATATTAGTGGCTTGTACAGGAGAGCTGTGGATGTCCTCACTGTCAGAGGTTATATTTCATTTTTGTGTTTGTATTAAATATATTATCTTCTGTTCTGTCAAACTAACTCAAAATATATTTTAAAAAATGATCAAAAGACAGAGCTAAAGCTGAGAAAAGTAAGGGCTTTGACTTTAAGAAAATTGCTCCTAAAACCTCCTTTTTGGCTGCTAATGTCAAGTGTTTTGACAAGTTTATAAGGGAAACAGATTAACACGATTTACATCAGAACTGCTGAGCTTCAACAGAATAATAAGATCAGCAAGTAAATCAGCAATAGATTGCGGTGGGTGGTGGTGGGGGATCAATTATAAAGATGTTGCTCATTAACAAGCCGATGTTGCACCATCTCATTTGGTCTGTTTTGCTTCAAGAAAAATAAGTTTTTGTTATGTAGCCCAGAAACTCCACCAGAATGTTAATAATCTCTTTTCTTCATGCATACAGAAAAGCGGCTTCATAAACCATCCCCGGCTATATGTGAAATATAGTCTGCTTTCATAGAAAAGAATGTTAAATATTTCATCACCGAGGGCCACTGAAAGTGAAATCAGTTCCACACGAGTGTGAAATGTCAGCTGCCATGACGGCCGGTGGGAGTGATGTGACTGTTCTGCATCTATCGTGTTTCCAAAGAGAGAGTGCGACCTTCTCTTTGAGGACAAAGAGAAGGTCACGCAAGGAACAGAACATGCTCTTTGTGCTTTCACGTCCATGTTTTCCTGTTGAAGGCAGCGATGCTCCTTTGTGGCAATAGTCTGTGTGTGCACGGAAGGATACGAGTGCTGCTCTGCGTGATCAATGTGGCGCCTGGGGACTTTTTCGCATTAAGAATGGATGAAGTGTTGGTGACCACGTTCTCTGAAGACGAACAAATCGCATATCAGTGACGACAGATAGAAGACTTAAAGGGAATCATCCATCCGTCTATTCTCTTTGCTTTTCTCAGAACTGATCCAAGTGTCTGATTAAGTGGATCGGCAGATGCAAAGCACTAATCTGGATGTGTGTTAAATTAGTAATTAATGCCTTTGATGGGGAATATAGCATCAAATTAAAAGAAATGTGTGCAGCAGTTGTTTTTAATTGTGCATTAGTCTCTCTTAAACATTTTAGTATTAAACTCTTGCAGCGAATAAGAGCCTACATGTCAACAAACTGAGGCTATTAGATGTGACAGAAAACAGCAGAGATATGGTATAGTGTCATGGCAAGAGGCTAGAGGGGAAAGCACTTCTTTCTCTTATGCACACAGAGCACATGACAGAGTATGAATCCATTTAAATTTTAATACTGATATGAAATATCAAGAATCAGTTCCAAGCTGGCATCAACGCAGGAGTACAAAACTGCTGACGCCAAGGTTGGAAACACTAACAACAGTGTGGGAGGGGGCCCACAGATTCTGTCTTCGGTCATTTTCTTCCCACTGAAATGACCTGAACTGCGGTGCTACGTAATCATTGATTCTCAAACCTGTCGAAACAACACTGGCCACTTCCATGATGGGATAAGAGGATTCCTGTGTTCTGGATCTATCTGGCTGGGGCCTTTTTGTCTGCAAAGGCACCTTCATCAATTCAGTTAAGTTCAATTCGGTTTTATTTATGTAGTACCAGCAGGAATAGCCACTTCAAGGTGCTTGATATTGTAAGGTAAAGACCCTACAGTAATACAGAGAAAACGCCAACATTTAAACAATGCCCTTTGAGCAATCACTTGGCGACAGTGGGAAGGAAAAGGAAGGAAGGAAATCTCCGATAGGCTCAGGGAGGGGCCTATCAGATGGTCTGCTGTAACTGGCTGGTGGTGATGTGAGGGCGTCAGGACAAAAGACACACTGCAGAAGACAGTCAAAGATGAATAATAAGTAAAGATTAAATGGAGAGTAGTGTGTGAAGAGCAAATGACCATCATCAGTCCCTGACATCATTGTCCAGCGGCACAACCCTGATGTGATGTTATTGAGCTTTACGTGCTGGTAATCAACTTTTTTGTAGCTGGAGCACGGCTAGGTGTTTGGTTATACATAATAAAGGTGTCTGTCATCTAAATTGTGGCATCTTGCTAGTACCTTGTCAAACATAGTTATTCAAACTTCGAAATTAGTTTAGTGTAAGCCATTTGTCTGCTTTGCAGCTTAGGAAATTAAAACGCTTGTATCTGATGGTGTCAGTAGGTTCTTCCTGTCGAGTTGCTGTTGAGCAGTCGAACAGGTGTGCTTAAAAAAGTGGCTGCCTACTTTAAATAAATATTGTTCCATGTTCATGTCTTTTGCAAAAGCTGTGCTTCTTTCTAAAATCTATTTCTGTTCCACTGTGGTAAACTGGTTTAAGTGCAGTAGCCAATGTTGGATATTGGCCATTGGCAATTTTTTTTATGACAGATTAGCTTTGGATTAAATATCTCCATCACAATGTAATGTTTATAGATATCTCCCTGCCTCTCCAGTCTCATTTTATGGTATAACATCATAAAATTCGCCATGAAACGCAGCACGGTGAGTTGGTTATAAAAGATCAAGAGCAGGAATGGTGAATTTTTTTTCTGACACTTAAATCTCATTCATTTCAAATGGAGGATTACTGATGTCCTACTTTTCTCCTGCCTTTTGTGTTTGCTGTCACATCCCTTCAATTGCTCGGGAGGCTTACCTATCGAGGAAGGTGACAGTGACTTGAGAAATCCTCCAGCATCGTATCACCTTCAGTTCTCAGTAGTGAGAAAGTTGAGGGAGAGCGGAGCAGGCGTGTGAGTAAACCTGATGTAACTCCAAATGTTTGATGTGTAGCTGCAAACATTTGTGCAAATCTTTCTCTTCTGAGTCTCTTTTCTTTTTCTCATTCTTTTGAATGTGATGCATATTGCAAAACTGGATTCACACAATTCACATGTGGTGATAAAAAGCTTCAGCGCAGCTACAATAATACAGAATGTGTTTCCATGCAAACAGCAGATTGCTTTCAAATACAATGCTTTACATTGGCTCAGCTTTTATTTTATGTGCTCATGAGGCAACTTCTTTTAAATGCTGCTGAACGAGGTCTGGTCTGATCCTTTTCTGTCCACTGACTGATTTAAAGTCTCAACCTTTCAGCACTGAACTGCTATGCAGTAGGTTACATGTAGCTTATCTAGTGAGTCACTGACAGGACAATGTGAACAGTGACCTTGAGTCTGTCTTCGTGCTGTTCTGTTAAAATAGTGCAGAAGAAGAGAAATGTAGTAACAAAACCCAAGGGTCTCCTGGATCATTTTTATGTATATTTTTTTATTTTTAAGAGATTTGTCCTCATTTGAGACCTTCTTTTGCACCTTTTACGATAAAGCTATTCCACCAGACAGTCATGGAAATCATTTATTGGCATTTGTGGGATCTTTTCTTTTGATTGGCTGGGCTCTTTGAGCTGAAAGCTTGGTGACTCTTAGTACAGTGCTCTGTATGTGTGCAAAGATGAGGGCAAAATGTTAACCGGGAGCCTAGAGCTACTGACGTTTAAAGCAAACAACTACAAGGCTTGGACTTTTAGTGGTGTCAACAAGTCAACTGTATCTGCTGGCATTCATTTAGATACAGTATGTGTGTGTGTTGATGCACTGAAAGGTCTGATCTTTAGCCCCTGGATTTAATACCACCTTGTATTATTTCTAGTAGTTTTTCTACATCCCACTCCTCTTTTCAACTACTCCTACACTAATGTCTAACCTCTTAAGATTTTCTGCCATAATGTCTGTTTTTATCTTTTTCTTTCATGCACTGCTTTGTGTGGGATTAATGTTTTCTTCTTCTCCCAAATGAGCATTTTCGCTGACTCGGGGCTGCATTCTTGAGTCATTAAACAGCATTGTTCGTGACCTGTTTCCTGCATTAGAAAGATTAGTCCAATCGGCTGCTTGCTTCAAGTCATCAAGTCAGTCCTTTTAAGTAATTGCGGTCTGCAGGTGGCTTTGGTTGCTTTTCAGAAGTGGAAAAAAAAATTGAAAGCTGCAGTTAATTAGTGGAAACATTTTTCTCCTTCATTTTACTGCTCGCCGCCATCATTTGAACTTTAAAGGCCGTGTTTGCCCCGATACTAATTAATTTCTCATCACGCATGAACCCACACGCTTCCCGGTGCTAGAAGCCCCACCTGGATGAAGTTATTTCATCAAACACCCTACATCGTGTGTCGTACATTTCATGATAGATTTAAATGACTTTGACATAATCTCAAATAAGGAAATAAGTAAAATGCCAAATTCTCACAGATAAATAAACGTTACTTTTCTTCACTACCTAGGCTTTCATGATGTGAACAAACACTCTGTCAGTTAAGCCATTGTTCTGGGGACTTTGTTTATGAGACTGTATGTGCTGCCAGATGCTGCATAGTAATTGAAAGGAAACGGCCCAGACTCTCCTCCTCCTGCTGCCGCTGCTGCTGGCACTTCAGGAATGCTCTAAGTGGAGCTTTATTGGCTCATTTATTCATGCACCCTCACTCTCTTTTGTTTCCTCTGTCTTTCCACATAGTCTGTTTTATGACACTCTATTTATTTCAATCAACATAACCCAAATTGTTTATGAGAGCATGCAGTTCTTCTTGCTTTTGTATTCAATATTTTTATTCCAACACAGCAAAGAATTTGGATTTCTGCTGCACGCAGTGGCCTATTAAACCATATTATTCAATATCCATATACGGTTTTATTCTTGTAAGACAATGCATGAACTAGATTAAGTTCTTCATCTAATTGTAATGCCTTAAAATTTAATAAAATCTGACTCTACACTGCTTCTGTCGTATATATGGAGCATTAAAGAGGTTGGAGATTGAAGCACTCTAGAAGGACAAGAAGGTTCTTAAGCAATATGCTAGCTACATCCATCAGCTTGTTAAGGTTGTAGGCATAGACGTTCTTTGGGCGAAATCCAGAAATCAGTGTGTTCACAGTGGTGTATGCCTTAGCAAATATATTATTTACTATTTTTGCAATCTTACTTTAATGCGTTTGCTCATATATCAGTCATAAATCGCTATCAGCGTTGTAGCACGGTAACATTTTCAGTCAGCAGTCTCCGGGGGCAACATACTTTGCATATTTAAACGTCATCAGCATGGTCGCCAACTCACACTGTTCACATGGGACTCTTGCTCTGAGCCTCTGGCTTATTCTCACACTGCCATTGACAACACTCAGCAAATGTTGCCTCATTTGGTTGTATTAATTCAGCCTTTGGAGCTGAAGATGTATGATGCACACTGCAGCCTCTCAGACAGTGTTTCTGTGTGGACTCTGTATCCTCCTTCATGTGTCAACATCTGTTTCCACAAACACACCAAAGCTATTAATTATACAGTAAACTGCTCTCAACTGGTCAGTTAGAAAAGTCAATAATGATGCTAGTTCTGTCTGTGCAGCTGTAATTTGAAGCGCCTGTGTAGTTAACTGGTTACACATACTGTGGAGTTATACTACTACATACTAGCCTATGTAGTGTATTGAATTTATCCATTATACACTATATGGACAAAAGCATTGGAACACACCTCTTAATCTTTGCATTTCAGTCCCTAGCTGTTTAGTGTGCCTTCACAAACATGTATAAAAGAATTAGCAGAAAGTAGCAGCCTGGATGCAGGACTCAGCAGAAAGAGGTGAACTTAACTTTGTTGCTGGCAAAAGACCATGAAAACAAGAAACTATCATTTTCATTTATAACTATAATAGGGCGATGTAGGAACTTATTGACAGACTGACAACAAGCTGAACTGACTGACAGACTGAACATCACAAACACAAGACAAGGGACTATCAAAATAAAACAGGAAGTAACACACATACTGAGAACCAGACTATGACACGCGCACTTGGCAAAACAGGGATATTGACAGCCAGAGAGACATGGGAACACGAATGGGGAGACAGGAAAGGTTCACAAAAGGAAAATGAACTAGAATGTAGACAGGCTACAAACAGAGGATGTAATACATGACCAAGGAATTCTACTACGATAGTAAGGAACCAAATTCAAAGAAAAAACCTTCCGGTCTAAAAGTCAGATAACATAATAACCAATACAGAAGCATAAAGACAGATATAAGATACAAAACAAATATACAGACATACTGTATGATCATTATAGTATGATGATGATGATAATAGTGCATCTGACTCCTAATCTGCATCCCTTTTTTTTTTTTTTTTTGGTATTGTGCTCTCCAGTTCAGCTAAATTGGGTGAAAAGTTTTACACTTCTTCCATATGGGAAGGTTACTTGGGGAAATACCTTACACCACATGACTCATTTTTCAGCAGTGCCCACACCTGCTTATTCATACTTATTATGCAGGTATGTAGAGATTTGTGAATGAGTGAACAAAACAGAGATTTCAGACGTAGCCCATATTTTAGTGTCTCATAGCACAAAATGAGAATAAAACACCTCCAAGGATTTAAAAAGGATTTTAAGTGACAAATGTGCATCGTTGTTTTTCATTATGTCAGAGGTCAGCACATTGATTTACATCCATTTCTTGGAGATTTACTCCAACTCTAAAAATAACTACTAGTAAAGATAGCCTTAGCCTAAATCTCAGCTTTCCCCAAACATTTAAACAACCTTCAAATATAAAGATTTTCAGTATGGGGTTGATTTGTCCCCTTAAGGAAACGTAATGATGGATATCAGTGTCATTCTGAGCAAACTAATGACTCTGTTGTGTCCTATTACCCAGTAGCCACAAAGCTGCTTTGGACATGTGACTCATTGATGAGCGGAAGAATGGAAAATAAAACAATGGTGTGGTAAACCCTCTTTGGCAGTCACTGTCATTATACAAATGCTGCAAAGCTTAGTGATATGAATAATTTCACAACATCTAATTATTTTTGGCATCAAAAATATCAGAAGCAATGATGTTCTTTATTTAAAACGGACATCCAGGTATATATTTTATTTAGAAATTGTCCAGCTAATTGTGCCTTTCATTTAAATTTTTTGTTTTGTTTTCACGGCTGTTTTCGACCTAATTCCAAGCCGCAGCAGGCGACTCTGTCCGTGAAATGAGCTTTGAAAAATTAATGTAGGTTAAAAATCAAGCATTCACTACCCAGCCAATCACCGTTTGCTGAAAACATTCCCAACTTTGCTGGTGAGCAGAGTAGAGCATTACAAATGGAGTAAGATGGATATATTGTTCAACGGTCGGTGAGGGGAATGTTAAATAAGCAACTGTTTGCCAACACATTTGCCGTATTCACTTTATTATGCGATAAGTCAATTTTGTGTTTGCAGCTCGTTGCGAGCGGAGGCACTTTTTGTTAAATTTGTAAAGTGCTCGTCGGTGATGAATATACGCTGAATAAACGACAGCGTGCTCCAGGCTGCTTCCATTAAGGTTAAGAAAGATTTTCATCCTCTGTGTCGACGTGCAGTTCCACCCACTTTCCTACCAGTCGGTGTGTGTCTGTGTGATTCTTGTGAGGCGTGTCACTTTCTGTGACAGCGGTCTTTTCTGTGTCTACATTGTCCTGAGCAGCTGCAGTTAATTTCCCCCACCTATTGTCCCCTTCCACACTGTCAGAAACTATAATTCAGCTCTAACCAAGCGAGAACAGTACCACTCTGTTGGACTCCGTGTGAGTCAAGGTGAGACAACTTTGGAGGAGGAAAGGAGGTGTGGAGCGTGTAATACTTTGGGGACTTGTTATACCTTACTGCAACTGGGAGAACTGGGCTTACAAGTGGACATGCACGAGGCAGCGCAAAATCTATGACAACTCCTCAAAGTAGAGTGAGTCCAACGTGACTTTAAAGCCGTGTGTAGAGGCACGTTCAACATTGTTTTTTCTGGGGGTCAGAAAGAAGTAATATAGCAGTTTAGAGGCTTTCGGGCTCTGCACTATAATGTTGCAGAGCTTTGACAAACAGTAGTTCATCTTGCTGTAGAGTTGGACTAGTACAGCACGGCTGACAGCTGGCTCTGTTACTGCTGCTCTCATGGGGGAATGGAGAAAATGCTGTTTCTGTAATTTTGATGGATTTGTTTTTTTTGTTTACTTGGCTTCCTTTTTTCATCCGTAGGACCCATTAAACCCAGGCTGAAAGGCTTTTATAAGACGTATTGCTGCTCCTTGCAAAATGTACATATTCAGGGGAGATATCCACCTTTCATCCAATAGAAACACTGGAGTGTGAAAGAGTGATGGCTCTGTAATGGTTTGCCTGTTTTCTTGGCAGTGTTGCAGTTAGCTGTGGCAGAGATCAGTGGCAGACTTGCACCAAACCATCGGGCACATTCTGCTGCTTCTGTGTATTTAGTCAGTGACAGCAGCCCGTCCAACAGGAGCAGCATCGGGGCTAGATTAACGGCAGAAGCTATAGGAGACGGGCCAAAAGTGGGAATCATGGAATTTAGTCTTGCTTGTGGGTTTTGTTAGCAGCAGGGGCTGAAATGTTGGGACAAAGCCTAGGCTTTGAGTAGAAGTTTGGTTTTTGTTTTGGCTCCGAGTGCTAAGTGGAAACAAGCTGAAGTGAAAACCAAAGACGGAAAAAGAGCAAGGATTCATGTTTGAGAAGGACTTATATCAGAGGCTAAGTTGGAAATTCACCCAGAGAGCTCTCTAGTGTCATCTGACAGTTTGTCTTCTTAAAATCTGCATGTCCACGTGCTCCCTTTTCATTTTTTTAACAGCTAGATTGATGTGAAAGGCCACAATAAATGGGAACCACAGGGGAGATATCTAACAGGAGTTAATGGGCCACTAAGGGAATATTTGGTTTTGAAGGCGGGCACATAGTAACTACTACTCCTTCTCTGGGGTTTCACAGCTCTTTAAGTAGACCTGTCAAATTTCCATCTTGAGTTACAGGAACGTCCCTTTTGCTGTAACTCTAGATTTTAGAAATTTGCTCAAAAAAGATAACTGCACAAATATAGCACAGACTCACAAGAGAGTTGGCCTGAATTAGACATAAAACACACACAGGAAAAACAACACACCACTGCACTGTGATGCTTAAGAGAAAATGTCCTTGGTGAGCAAAAACATGTCATTTGTTTGAAAGGCAAAGGGAATTATCAGATGAATTGTCATTTTCTTTCAACTGTCATCTTATTTTTGTTTATTTCTTTTTCTTTTAAACATCACAATTGGGAAATGGCGCCGAGTCGAAGAAGCGAAACAATACAAATTGACAAGATGACAAAAGTGCAGTTGGGAATCCAGTTGACGAGAGTAGAAAAAGAGGTCTTGGTGACATTGGCAGTGTAACCTACTTTTAACGTGGTGACAGAACAAAAAAAAAAGCATGCGGCGATTATATTTTCTGGAATGATACACGCAGGATATTTGAAGTTCTGTGACAGGCTGTGTTTGAAAGCTTTTATCTGAAGGCTTCGTTTCACGGCCTCTGTGTTTCAGAAAGCAGCGTTCACGAGGGAAGCAACGACAACGATGGCAGCGTCTGCGGCAGTGACTCCGCCTTCTACAAGCAGAGCGAAGGTGAGGGATGCGGTGATGGGAGGGCGGCGTTTTGTGGCACTGCAGATGAGTAATTCCTGCCACAGGTAGAATCAGCATGCTTGTGCTTTTCTATATCTCCTGGATGCAAATGCAAATAAACCTCCTTTCATGCAAAAGTGCACATAAATAAAATTCCCGCCCTGTGCTCACCACAGACAGCATATTTTCTTGTGGATGCTTATTATATTTACACGTACGCTTTCATAAATGGATAAATATGCTAACAAGATATGCGGCTGACAATAAACAAACCCAATTTTGTTTGTTTACTGGTAATTATCTGCTGTGTGCAGTGATCAAGATCTGCCATTTAGATAATGTCAACTTCTAAAAGGCCCACGCAGAAAAAAATACCATATGCTTAATGTGTGTATGTGTGTATTTGTGTTTATAGGTGTGTCAGAAATGCCAACAAAACTGCGCTCTTTTACGATGATTTAAAGCAAGGGTAAAATAATCGTAGTATGAGTCAAACTGAGGGTCGTTGTACACATTAAATAAAATCGTTTGAAAGGATGTTTGTATTTCAGCATCCTAGCAACATCAGCACTAAGCAGGCACTAAATAGGAACTAGAAGGAGAAAGAGCGTATTTCTCCCATATTACCTTGCCTTCAATGGATCCCTGTTAAATCTAGCATTTTGAATAATATTTTGAATAATCAGTCCCTATCTTATCTTTTAGACCTCATAGTATCATATCACCACAATAGAGCACTTCATTCTCAGACTGCTAGTTTACTTGTGGCTCCTGGGGTATTTAAATGTAGAATGGGAGGCAGAGTCGACAGCTTTCAGGACTCTTCTGTGGAACCAGCTCCCAGTTTGGATTTGGGAGACAGACTGTTTAAGATTAAGCTTAAAACTTCCTTTTTGATAAAGGAGATGGAACTAGATCAGGTGACCCTGAAAACCTACCTTAATTATGCACCAATGGTCTCAGGCTGCTCCCATTAAACACTTAGCATTTCTTCTTCACTCACTCTTTTTCACTGTGTTTCTACACCACTGTGTTTAACCATTAGCTATTATAAATACATTCAGGACAGAAGGCACCCTTCCACAGTCCCTTCCCTTGTGCCCAACAGGTCACAGCAGATGGCGCCAGTTTCTTCTTGTTAAAAGGAGTTTTTCCTTCCCACTGTTGCCAACCAATTAATCTTAGAGGGTTGTCCGCTTGCTGGGGTTTTCTCTGTATTATTGCAGGGTCTTTACCTTACAATAGAAAGCACCTGTCTAATTTCAATGGCATGACTGCTGCAATAGTTAGAAACTAAAATTTGTGCAAAAAGCTCAAATAAGGTAATTTAGGGCTCTAGGAAACTATGAATGTCTGTAGGAAATTTCAGGAAATAGTCATTTAAATGCACTATATGGACCAAAATATTAGGCCACACCTCTAAATCTTTGGATTCAGGTCTTTTCAGTCCCATTGCCGCTGATTTATAAAATCAAGCACTAGCCATGCAGTGCGCCTTTACAAACGTTTGAAAAATTTGGCCGTTTAAAGACTGAATTTGAGAGTGGTTTGTGTAAAGTTAATTAAGCGGTGTCTATGTCTCTCTGTGCAGAGTGCTGATGGACTTAATAAAAGTCTCTGACGCTTTGCTTACTCAATAACAACATAGAACCAAATCTCCATTGGCATTAACATCAGCACAAAAGCTGTGCACCGGGAGCTTTGTGGCATGCGTTTCAAGTCGATACTGTAGGTGTATGTGGCCCATTACTTTTCTCTATGTAGTCTAGTTCATTCTGGAGCGAAGCAGTGGATCACTATCACCATCCACAGGGGAGGGAAGGTTAAGGGAACTCTGTATGCATGCATTTATTCTTGTGTGCGCTGTGTTGTGTTATCAGGGCACAGTATGGCAGAGACACTCACAGTCGCCTTGCGTGTTGCTGAGGAGGCTATAGAGGAGGCCATTGCTAAGGCAGAGGAGTTCAGTGACAGCTTGGTAAGACGTCCCTCTCTTCCCCTTCTCCTCTCCCTCTCTTGTCCTCTGCCTCCTCTTTTCTTCCCCCCACTTTTCAGAGCTTTCGTATTGCCTTCCTGCTCTCCATCCCCATATTTTCAATCCCCTATATCACTGTCATGGCTTCTTACTTTTCCTCTTCTCTTGCCTCCCTCTTGGTCTCAGTATCAGCGGGATACAGTCATGGTTTTTGGCAAAGACCTTTGCACAGACTCTCTCTTGGTAATTCACATTCACTTTGAACTGAATATGCTGTGTGTGTGTGTGTGTCTGTGTGTGTGTGTAGGAGAAACAGAATGAGGCTCGGTATCTGCGGGACCACAAAGAGGAGCTCATAGAAGAACTCGCCACAACCATTGTACAAAAAGTAGGTATTACTTTACTGCAGGTTTATTCGTCTCTTTTATGTGGAAGCATTAACTGCAGCTAAAATCTTTCAAAATAAAAAAAAATGTAGCACTTCAGGTTATGCCTTTCCTCTCCACCCTTTACAAATGGATTGACAAATAATTACGCTTTTACTCTATAATTTCAAACAGAAGTCATTGCACTTATATAACGTTTTAGTGAAATATGGCACAGGAAATAATTTTCAAGCAAGAAAAGAGCAGAAGGTCTTTGAAAATGATAATTTAGAGTGTCAAAATCTGCATAAATTACTTTAAAATTGAAGTGACAACTGCTTTAATTTTACACATGGCATCTAATTTGCATGCAGATAGTGAGTGGAGCCAGGATCTGCAGTTGTTTGATTGCCTTTGAGTTTAAAGTCAAACGTGTTGGAAATCAGTTCACTGGAAATGAAATACTTTGAAGATTTCAGCACATAATGTTACAATAAAATTTAAATGAAAATTAAATCATCGCTTTAAAAATTATTAATGGCTAAACATAAAATTCTGTTGTACGAGCGCATTTCTGCTTTCCATTGTGCATTTATTATTCTAGTTCATCCTTTTAAAAAGCTTGTTGTGTACGCCTCATAGCTTGTATGCACAGTCTCTGTCATGTTCTCTCTCCTCATCGCCTTCTTCACTTCCTTTTTTCTTTTTCTTTTCCCTCAGATCATCCAGAGAAGGAAGCGTTCAGAGATGCAGACAGAGTATGACTTTGTCTGGCCTCAGTCTCAGTCTCTGATCCAGCCCAGTGAACTGCCCTCTCCTTCTCAGCCTCACACTTCATCACAAGGACCACAAGACCCGCTCAAAACCTCCTACTCTCTCTATGTGAGTCCCTGTGTCAGTCTAAACTGTTGGGACATATGGAGCATGTCATGCTGCCGTATTCAGCCATCTCTATTTAAGTCAAAAACAAACATGCAGAATAAATACAGATAAAGCATAACCGGTATATTAAAGAAGGACATAGCCAATGAGACACTTCTAAGAGGCACTACAGTGTGTGATTTCTTAGTAGCATGGATCACATACTGCTCTGTACGTGACCCACCGATGACAGGTTCTCTTTTTTTGACTAATTGTGAATGCAGTCACTTGAAATTAGGTAGTACGATTAGATTTCCTAATATAAGCTGTATTTTTTTCCTCAGACTCTTTTTTTTTTAATACTAATTTTTCTTAATGATGTGTTGGAGAATTCTGGAAGAGTTTACTTACTGTTGAGGGTTTGAGGGAAAGGTCCTTTTTTTTAAAAAAGATAATACAATATGCCAACTACAGCAAGTCCTCACACAGGAACACATAGGCAAATCAATAGTACACAAACCTGGCACGGGTTCATACTACAAGTCACCAAGGACTCCTGGAGATTTGTCATCGTCCTGTGTGTGTGCAGAGCATCAAGGCTGCTCTCCCCGGGGCTCTGCCTTCAGTTTCCTGCTGTTTCACTCAGTGAAGATCAAAGTCTTGTGAAATACGCAGGGATCCTCCTCGACTGCTCTGCCTGCCATGGGATAAGCTGTGTTTATCAGCTCTCTACAAAACCACTCACTGACAGACAAAGCATGCAGATTTACACTCACATGCGTACTTACGCAGTGTAACACTAAACCTTAATGTTGTACCCCACCCTTTTTAAAGAGGAATTTTTGTGTGTTTAATTCTGCAATTAATTTCTCAAATTTGGGAGAAGAATAAAGTATAGCTTAGCTTAGCTTATTTTTCGAATTGACGCCAGAGTACAGATCAGACAAAGCTGCCAAATGTAAAATGCACCAAAAAGCTCTCATGAATGTAAATTATGTTGTTCCACAGATACACAAATATTACACAAAAATACACAATACACAAAAATTAAGTAATAAAGGACTAGTGATTTAGTATATTAAAATCTTGAGCTAATGTAAATGTATAACTTTTATTTGTTTCACACAGAAAGAATCACAGGAACTGCTTAGTAGATATTTGCTCAGTGTTATAGCTCCACCTGCTGGTGAGAATGGTAAATTACAGCCGGCATAGTAGTGACGTTTTAGGGTTTTTTTTTATTGCTGGACAGGAAGTGAATTGTCCAGATGGACCAAATGCTCTTATGTGTATTGCTTAATTACTATATATGGATATTATATTTTCTGGCCAAGTGCCAGTTATCTCTGTTTCTCAGCTAAAAATCTGTCTGAACTTCCTGTCAACAAAAAACTAAAAAAAAAAGAAAGAACTTGTCAACAGAGTTGTGTACCATTCTTTAGATCTGTGTCATATTTCTCTGTATTTACCTGTGTGTGTGTCAATGTTTGTTCTTGCAGCGGTTGCGGTCAGCGTTCTCTCTCACCAGTGACGACTCCCCAGAGAAGGGTCCAGAGGAGGAGGTAGCTGAGGCCGGTGGCGGCAACGACGGCTTGCAGGAATACGCTTCTCTGAAAAGGGAGCCAAAGGCGGCCACATCTTTACCCACCTGGAAGAGCATGGATCGCCTGGATAACTCGAGTAAAAGTCACACTCACAGACTCTTTTTGGTTGAGCAGCTTTCCATTTCGCTTTTATCAGTTTAAATATAACTTTGTGTAGATGCATAACTGAATAGATTTAAAGATTTTTAGACAAAGGCCATAGATTTACTTTTACATGTCGTAAAGATGCACATACATACAAAGACATACAAATTATTTGTAGAAATTTACCCCATGCATTGCTCTATATTAGCCTCATATAATTTTATTGAGAGTATGGATATTGAATTTATTTTGTACTCTCTGAATCCCTGCAGTTGACTCCGTTCTTCTATACTTCCTGCTGTTGCTTGTGATTTTCATCCAGGTGCCTCTTCAGTGCTCCAGAGTCCAGACGGCAACTGGATTGCCCTGCACAGTTCCCAGCTGTCTCGGCCCAGCCTGCTCACCAAGAGGAAGAGCCTGTTGTTCAGCGTGCTGGAAAAGGAGTCTGGCGTTGTCTCCGCTTACGACGAGATGGGATCTGACTCAGAGGAGGACGATGAAGGTGGCTGGGGTGCAGCGCTGAGGCAGTTTCGCCGCAAACTGTCAGATGAGACTTACTACACGGACTCCCAGCACGACCCCGAGTGGATTTACACTCAGCATCTCCCGGTCACCTCACCATCCTCGGGGCAGTACACCAACACAGAGACTCTCAACTCAGACTCCGAGGCCTCGTCAGTGCTTTCTGCGTGTCCCCGTAAACCACCCCACAATCTGATGAGGAAGAAAGGACCACCGGATACACACCTTCACCCTCATCACCAGCCGCTGCATCACCAACACCTTCAGCAGAACTTTTCTCCATACCCAGTCCAATCAGAGTCATTGGATGTGAACTTTAACCCTAAGGTGATGTCTTTGAATTATCCTGTTCTACAAAGTCAGATGTAAATATTGTCCTTTGTAGTGAGAATTTTAGAGCCATACCAAGTAGTTGGTGGACTAATATTTGCAAATATTATAATTATAATATCTGCAAACACCTTTCAACCATATTATCAGTGTTGATGTTGTCCACCAGAGGGCACTCTGCAACTTGCCTGTTGGAAATGCGTGTATAGATCATCACAAGCACAACAACCTGCTGATCAACAGCAGAGCAGGAGAGAGCATAACTGAAGAACCACACATGAGAAATGTTAGGGAGATTCTAAAAGGAAGAAAGAAAGAATATTGACTGATATATCAGAGTATTGGCTTCACCAAATATCGGTATTGCTATCAGTCTTAAAGTCCTATATCAATTAATTACTCAACAGCTCTTTATTTGCTGATTAAAAGGTCATGACTGCATTTGTAGAACTGGGGATGCTCCCTGTTACACTTTTTTTTGTACTCTGAAAAGAGACTCCATGTTCCTTAAGTGAAAAGTACCCACCCCCCAGTTAGCTCTTTTTTTTAGTAGAGACAACAATAGAGAACAAAAGATACGTGAGTTTTTACTTGCAGTCCTTGGTGCAGAGGCCTCAAATGAGCCGACAAAGATACAGAAATAATAGTTGCGTTCAATTAAAACCTGATAACAAAAGACAGTCCTAGAAAGAAAAGCATGTTATCATGTGAAAGCTTTAATCTGATATGTAACGGTGGCACATGTACCTGTTTACTTCCTGTCACTGTTCCCAGGTGATGGGAGACAGTAGCGAGGCAGAGGAGAGGCAAAGTGATCCCGTCAGAAGATCACGGCGACGCAGGAAGAGTAAGAGGGAGTCATCATCAGAGCAAAACAGGACTGGAGGCCAGAGCCATCCACAGTCCGTCTACCCCTTAGCGCAGGTAAAATTTAGTGATTCCTTATTGGTTGTTAAGAGGAACTCACTTTAAAATCCATCTATGCATCTATTTATTGGGGCTGTTCGGCTTGGTTGTAAAGCATTGTTTCACCATTAGAAGGAACCAAATGAAGGTCTCTAGTTCAGGCTACTTTGCTCTTTAGGGTTAGGCTTTAGTCTTTAAAATCTGCAAATATAGGTTACCTGCTCGATTTTTACAATTATCTTTTGATTTTACATGTCGACCTTTAAGGAAAACAGTGGTATTCTACTCCACGCCCTGCTGAAGAGGGGATTAAGTGAGGAACAGCCAAAATCTGACACTATACCAGTGGCCACAGCTGCACCAGACGCCTTCAAATTAGATGCTACGACAACTGAGCCAGAGGACCTGGACACACTGGCGCCAAATTCACCGGTCCCCAGCCCTTCTCAGCCCCCCTCCTTGACCCTGGGGCGAGAGCTCTCATCCAGTAGCTCAGGGCCTGGATCCACAACCAGAGATCCCCTAGAAGGGGAGCTGCAGTCTAGACTTGGTCAGCTGGTCATCAGTGCCAACAGCAAAGACAGCAGCTCATCTGAGGAAGAGTGCACAAACTGGCCTGCAGACAGGCAGATGGATAAAGAAAGTGACAGACAGAGAGAGAAATTGAAGCCAAAGGAAAGAGAGCGAGAGAGGCAGCGAGTGAGTGACAAATCAAGAGAGAGAGCAAGCGAAGCAGTAGAACAAGTGAACGGACAAGAGATTAAAAGAAGCGAGAAGCTAATAAAGAGTCCCTCGGTGAGAGAAGACGGCAGAAGTCGGGAGAAGAGGTTTGAGAAGGCATGCGAGAGTTTAGATATGAAAGTGGAAGACCAGGAACAAAAGAGAGGAGACAAAAGAGAGCCCAACAGGCAGAGTAAGAGACAACATAAACGAGATGCGGAGAAGGAAGCGGGACCGAAAGGGGGAGCGAGGAGCGGATCCAGTGCAAGTTCGCCTGCTGTTACCCCTTCTTCCCACGAGGGGGCGCTGTCAAACAACCAGGTGGGGAGATGTACACAAGATTTGATTTCATTCTGCAGATCGTCTTCTGCATGTGCTTGCATTGCAGTCTGTTTGTTACGTGTTTGTAAGCTTTTAAATTCTTTTTTTTGTGCCTTCAAAATCTATTTCCTATCACAACCTCCTGTGTTATTTACCTGACAATCAGTGCTGTCATTATCTGTCCCTCATCCCATGTTTTCTCTGGTTTGCTGTGTTGTTTTTGAGTTTTTTGTCTGGTCTGTGTGTTCCTGGTGAACGTGTGTGTGCTTTCTGTATGTGCATATGTGTCAGGTGGGACAGAATGACTTGGAGCAACTTCAGAGGCTTCAGTTGCTCTCCTCTGTCTTACAGCAGGTGAGATATAAGGGCTAGAAAGAGGATGTAGTTGGAAGTCATGCACAAGGATACACAAACCTGCAGCCATCCCATTTCATTTATGGCCTTAATATCTTATTTACATGCACTGTAGTAAATTGCATTATGATTGCATACATATGATTAAAATGGTCTAATTTTTTGGACTCTTTATCAGTCCATACAGTGCTGTGCAAACCCCTCATATCCCTTCATTTTGCTTCCAAGGGGCGAGACTGTGTGTTGAGCAGTAGGTTTCCAGGCTTTCTGAAGGTTATTCGTTTCTTCACATTTCTGTTTAAGACTGTAAATTACTTTGATTTCTTGTGCACTACAAAAGTATGCGTATTATCAGAAATCTTTATTGTTTAATGTATGACTTTTGACATTTATTGGGCAGGTAAAATAAACTTTAAATAACTAGATGTCAAAACTATAATCTGTTATGTCAAAAGTATTGTTCCAGCTGATATTTAAAGTTGCTTTTTTTTTTTTGCATTTATAATCAACTCAGCACTGAGAAATCAATAACTACACAAAGTCAGATAGATGGGACACACGCACACACTTGGACAATACATCTGAGGCATGAGGGTCGATGCTGATCATTAAGCAGACTCATTCTAGGGGCTTCTATGAGTAATGCTTGCCTCTTCCAGCTTGTATGACACATGTACTGGTGTGATCTATTTCTGATGGCTTTCACAGCTCCCTTTACAAATCCGCCAGGACGTCTCAGTGCGATGTGAATAGAGGAAAACGTGCGACCATAGCCGTGATATTTGCGCCTTTTTGTAGCGATATCTAGTGTTTTGCCTTTATTAAATGAATCCGAATGAAAACTGAGTAGCTCACTGCCGTCGTACTAATTCACAGCGTTTTCAGCGTACGTGATCTTCAGCAGGTAAGGGTCTGGATGGTGTACAGAAATAGACATAAAGCAAAGAATATTGAATAAATAATCCCAGATTCACAAAATATCAACCACCTGTGTTCATTACTTTTCATGCCCTTATGAGCTCATCCCCACTAGAACCACTGCTGTGGACACAGGTGGTGTCATTTGAGGCTTTGAGGCTTTAGAGATTAGCCCTCAGGGTGGAGAAGGTAATTGGGCCCGGTGTATGCACAGAGGGAACGATACAGGAAAAAAAGTTGAACAACAACTTTTTATTCCTGTACGCCAATCTGACTTCCTTATTTATTTATCTTCCCTGTGTGTGACATATTCCTATATTCAAAAGGCATCAAACTAGTTTCTTTGTTTTTTATGTACTAGGATCAACTTTCCTCATTGATAGGAGTGAGATATCAGTGTCTGTGATGACTGTTTGATCAGACGGGTGATGGCCTACTTCTTTGAAGTGGATCAGCACATCTCCACTCCTCCTTTGACCAACCCAAATCGATACCTCACTGTGTCCATCTCTGCGTCTCATTCTTTTTTAAGATCGATCGATAGTGATTTAAAAAGGATAACCAGCATCTCGTCTCTTTTTCATCACTTACCTTCTCCGGCTAAAATCCGGCTTTTCGGACTGTCACACTGTGCTCGAGAGGGATCGATGTACTTCCGATCCCACTGATCAAAGCTTCAGCAAATTATTCATTCATTATGGAATAACATCTTTCTCTCTTTACTGCTATTTCTTATTCTTGCTCAGTGTTTACATGAGCTCAAGAGGATGAAACGGCAACTTTCTTCACTCACCGTCTTTACTTTTGAATCATTATTTGTCACATTATTTGACATGAATTTGGAGGCAGGCTGCTTGGGTTTGGCTGAAATGAGAGATCTCCACAGCTGACTTAAGTCATTTCCATTTCCTGATTAGCCGAGGCATCAATCGACAATCTTATCTCCTCTACTGGCAGATGTTAGATTATTTTGAGTAATGATCCAATCCTCAGCTTCACATCCAAACTGCAATTGCTTTCCTGAAGCTCAGTGACCAGAGATGATGTGTCCACAGTGCCATCATTTTCCAATTCAAAGCCTAAGAAAAAAAACAACAACAACTGAAGATGACTCACTTCTCTGGCTTTGTATTGAGACCTCATTACCCCATTTCTCACATCCCTGTTCTGCACCCTCTGACTGCTTATCCAGGTCAAGCATGTGTAGATGTGGGTCCTCACAAAACATTAATTAGGCAACCAGAGTGACAAATATATGTGCACTTGTCACCTGCAAAATGTTCTTTTTTATTCACGTATTATTATTTTTAAGGCTTTACAGTGTGAAAACCAAAGGGGGCTAATGCAGCTGATTAAAACATGATGCCGCATTATCTTTATTGGCTCACATTCATTTTTGAAATGGGGATGTTTTTACAGCGCTAATGATTGCATAATGTTCCAAAATTGAATAGTTGCATAATTGCCTTTTGTCACATCCCCTTGCTCTCGAAATGAAATATATTTTTCATTATCATTTCATGTGTATTACACTACATTAAGCCCTTGCCCTTAAGGTGATGTTTACAGATTAGATGTACTTGCTTGACATTTTCTGCTTTTCTCACACATTAAGTCTCTTTAACAGTGTGAGTAATAAGGTTTTCTCTCTGACTCCAGTGTTTCTGGACATTTCACTTGAATTCATTTTAATCTCACTTGAATTCAAACGGTCTGTTTATTCTATTTGTTCTTTGACTGGAGCAGAAGTGCTCAGCGGCTTCGCTCTGCAGCATCACCACGGAGGTGCTAAAGGTTTTGAATGCTACTGAGGACCTGATTGGTGAGGCGGGAGGCGAGAGCTACACCCCTTCTGAGTCTATGAGTGCTTCTCCCATATCCAGCAGCTCTGAGACCCGCAGGTTGGACCAGAGGCTTACCAAAATGGAGGAGAATGTAAGCTAGAGAGCACCTCCACCCAGTAGTTTTGCCTCCTGAATCAGTGGTGCTTATGGGAACTAAAGGTTTTGCTCTTTTCTGTGCAGGTTTATCTTGCTGCTGGTGCGGTGTATGGCCTCGAGGGAGCACTGGGAGACCTAGAGCACTGCGCCCGCAGTATTAGCAGTGGGACGACAGACCAAGAGCTGGCCTTCCTGGAAGATCAAGTGGCTACCGCGGCTGCTCAAGTCCAGCAGTCTGAACTGCAGGTACTTCAGAGGATCGATGACTGTTTGCACACATCTTTATACTGCTAATCATATGTTATAGTCTTACTAAACCCTGAACAAAGATAAGAAGAACTATTACCTGAGACATCCTCCTTAAATTCTCTTGAAAAAAATCATCTTTTTGCTTTAAGATATCAAACATTGAGGCAAGAATATCAGCTCTGAAAACGGCTGGGCTGAACGTGACTGTCTGCAATCGCTTCTCCAAGCTCAAGCCAAAGTCTAAGGTACTCACTGGCCTTCCTGCACGCTTAATCTTTTGCAATTTTTTTTGTACTTTCAGGCCATATGTAATGTCTTTAAAGAGTATTGGTGTAACTGATGAACTTGTCTGTGCTTATATAGTAATGAATGGTTATTGGAATAAAGAAATGGTCAGATATGGTTGGTTTGTTGATTTTAATGAACTATAATAGATGAGCGATGGTAATATTCTCATTACAGCCTCAAACCCTGGACTCATCACGCCATCAGAGGAGGAAGCTTCCAGCGCCTCCACTAAAAGGTACCAAACGTGCTAATTTTGCTCACTTTGGAGAAATCTATTATGTTGAGACAAAGAAAAATGTGTTTATGCATTTTTTTTTTTTTAAAACTGAACTAAACTGCGGACATATGCAGGGTACAGCCTTGTATATACAAAGTGTGAACGTGTGAACGTGTATGCTTATGTACGCGTGTGAAACCGAGACACCTAGAGATGGGAACTGAGACAGAGGGGAGGGACATTTTTATTCGGCCTTAGTTAACATCTCACATTTTATGCTTTGTCCTAAAAGAAGAGAGAGGCCATTGAATGGATGTAAAAGTGAATACATTTGCTAAAAAGAGACTAAGTAACTGAAAAGCTCCATTAGATGTAAAGCAGCCAAATGGAAACACACACACAGTCCAGGGGGATAAGGCTGTTTTATCAACCAACTGTAAGTCGGTTCCTTTTCATATTCGTGAAAAGCCTCTTTCTGCTGCAGCTTTCTTTATTTTCTTTTTTGTCTCTCTTTTTTTCTTCACCGTCATCTACACAATGACTTTGATTCAGGGTGGCTTTTTAGCAAAGCTCCAAAGAGAGACAGCAGAAAGGACAATGGGTCAAACTCAGTGACCAAGACATTGATTCAGTAATTCCACCTTAGTGTGTTCCTTCTATCAGTCCATACAACGTGCTCCACATTTGTAGTGAAAATATACTGACATTTAGCTATACACCACCAAACCTTCTTGTTGCTTTGAAATGATCATGAGGAAAAGCACTTTTTGATCCAATACAACATTATGGAATAAACATAAATGACTTGTTTAAACCAAGGTTGTGATGAAGCCTTTGCAACTGTGTGTACTACCCCCATCACGAACTATCAAAATCTGTCTTTTACCACTACCATGTCATAAATCTGCCAGTTTAGGACACTGAATTGTCTAATTACTCTAATATGTACTGGAGACCCCACTCCTATTCAGGTTAGAGCCATTTTGCAGAGCTCTGTGAAAGGAGTATACACGTTGTTTTATGAAACCTTCATTTTATCTGGCAGTTTCCAGAAACATGATTTATTGCTTAAAACAACAGTAGTTGAGAGTTTCATGGGAAAACACTGTGACATTCCGAAACCAGATGCTAGATGTAATTTCTCCAGCATGTCCTGCCCAGCGCCTCCAAGACATGCCCAAAACACCTCATGTAGAAAGTGCCGAGGAGACATCCTAGTCAGATTCCTGAACCACCTCAGTTGGTTCCTTTTGATGTGGAGGTGTAGCAGCTGTACAGTGAGTACCGCCTCAATGACTGCGCTCCGCACCTAATCTTACCTAAAGGAGAACCAAGACACCCTAAGGAGGATGCCCATTTCCTCTGCTTGTACTCACTATCTCACTTTTTCAGATCTAGGCTCAGGCTACCTCAACCTATCATGGCCATCTGTCATGATAGGTTGGGGGTGAAGGATGGAGACAGGACAAAGGACATAAATACACATATATGTGATTTTTTTCCCAAAAAGTTGATTCTGTTCATCTGGATGTAGCATCATCGGGAAAACGATATATCCAGATGAACAGAATCAACTTTTTGGGGATTTCCTTACCTGGATGATTGAGCATGAATCAAGACACACGTGCTTTTCTTAAAATAAAAATGTGGCATTTATTCTCATTTCAGAGAAGTTGGAGCCAGAGCAGCAGGTTAAAGTATTTCGGCCATAGTGACAGTCAACAGCACAATGAGTCCCTCAGGGCTATTTTCAAGCCCCAGGGACAGGGGCTCTTCACATCCAGTGCCTTGACCCAGCATCTGCCTCTAGCTCCAGGCCAAGCAGGGGCCACCACCTGCCCTGTGTAACCCAACTCAGCACTCATTCCTCACACAAGCTCAGTACCCATCAGTTAAAGAGATCAAAGAAGACATCGCTGGATCTTTCTCTTTTAACAAGATCTATTTCATGCTGTTTTTCCTCTTTACTGCACACACATAGACTCACACACACACACACAGAAATATGTTATTTAACAGTCGGTTTCTCTGCCTTAAGATCTGCAAACACTCCTCATAAACCGACTTAAAAGAATATATATGTACAGATAAAGAAAAACTCAGTTTTCTATCTGTTTGCAAGAGTGTTGTGAATTAATGTGCAATGAAGCTGTGGAAAATCATAAGAAAATTTGTGTGATTCAGTGTCCTGAAAAGAGGCTGAGCCATGTTTTATACTGCATCGTCTTTGTCACCATGAACCAAGAAATGTTACGGGGGATTTATTCAAACTGTTTTGTTTTTTTGATGATTGTCAATATCCACCCGCATATAGCTATCAGATGGTAATCACCAAATGGGGATGATTGTAACCTTCAATATTTTATTGATTTATACAAATCACAAGCAGACCAGAAAAGAGTTGGAAAAAAAGAGCTGTTTAGATGTTCAAAGTATCACGTCACCAGTGTTTTGGTTTTGTTTGGGGGAGGTTTTGTCCGTTGCACCATGTGCTTGATGACTATAAAGGAATAGCACATTGAGAAACTGTAGCTGAGAAGAAATTAAGCTAGTTAAAAGACCAGGTCAACATGTTGGAAATATAATCATTTAATTTCTTGCTGTGACCTAAGTAACTTAGTCCAGCCACTGTCAAGGCAAACTGTCAAACTTGTATCAAGAAAAAAAGAGAGGTCAAATTGAGAAATGGGCAGCTAATGATAATCCGAAACCGAAGGGAGCTGGACAGAACCAAGCTCGCCGCTTCCTCCTTTTTTAGTCTCTCAGCTAAGCTAAGCTAAGCATCCATTTGCCATGCTGACATTTCACTGGTGAGGAGTGTGTAAATTTATTTAGGAAAGAAAAAGCTGATTTGTAGATACATTCACATATTGGAAATTGTGGGTTACAACATTTAAATAGATCAAAATTTTTAAAAAAAATAGTTTGCATGGAGCATCCATCCAGCTTATCCGGGGGAACACCTGGATAAGCTGGAGGAGGTGGCTGGGGCGAGGGAGGTCTGGGCCTCTCTGCTTAGGCTGCTGCCCCCGCGACCCGGCCTCGGATAAAGCGGATGAAGATGGCATCCATCTGATATTCAAGTTGGGTCTGAAAATCCTCCTCCGTGACATATGTAGTTTCTCCAATGCAAAGCCATTCTTCCTCCTCCCTGTCACTTTCTTTGTTTACTTTCAAACGTTGTGGCCTTTTATTTAAGGAGAAAAAAAAGAGTATTTTCATGTTTTCCCTTTACCGGGGTCACGTCTGATCTTTTGTGTTGCATTCAAAGATTCTTGTAAAGATTTTTACATAAGAAAGTCTGACGGGCTATATAACAAATGCCATGAAACCATGATTTTGTTACAAGCAATTTATTTTTGTACTGAACGTTTTTATGCAATACCACTGAAATAAGTACTATTGCAAATTAAAGGCTTTATTCTCTCCTCAAAGGAACCCACCTCAGTCAGTCCTACCAGACTCTCTTATGTGTGATGACTCAAATTGCTTTCAGTGTAAGCTTGCATTTACCATTCGATGTTCTGCCAGTAATGACGATGGTAAATGCTTTGAAAACACAGGTGATGAGAGGCACACTTGTACTCCTTAAACACGAGAATACTGCCTTTCAGTTTTGGGAGATTTTATGTTAGCCATGCATACAGTTATCAGAGTTCTTGCTTTGGCTCCAGCTTAATGAGAGCAGGTTTGGATTCTCTGATAGTGTTTGAAAGGTGTGATGATCTTCTGTATGAATGCTCTGCCCCTTCTATTAGTGACCTTTTCATCCCCAGCCTTTCGCATCTTGGGTTTGCACATTGATCTTGTATTTTTTGTCAATCTTGTTCTCCAGAGGTGTTGATGTAAAAAAGAGCATGTTTCTGGCTTTATCAAACTGATGAAAAATGTCTCTCTAAGAAGCACAGCCACAAGGGTCCAATCATCAGTGTCCTGTATTTTTCTAATGTAAAAAAAATAATTAAAAAAAGTAACAATATCTCATTGCAGAATTTGTTAATATACTATATGTGTGAAAAACATGGATATGATATGATAATGTGTTTATTGCCCAATCATAGTTGACAAATCGTTCAGTGTTGTGCAAGAGACTGTGTATAATTGTCATGACTTGTGAGGCTGGATTTGCACAGGACGTCTCGTTGGTTGTTGGAACAGTGTCGCGGATACTGAGAAGTGATGAGATTCTCCCAGAGCTAAAAACAAATGTTGCTTTTGTTCCTGTTTAAATCCAGTGTGAACGACTATGAAGAGGTTCACTGTGCACAGCTCCACAGGCGGGCCATTCACTTTTATGTGCAATTGTTTGTTGCAATCCATACGATATGTTGGGGAAATTATTAACAAGCAAAAAAAGAAAAAAAATGCAGATTCTCTATGTGCCACAGTACTCTGAGGAAAAAAATGTATTATGAAATAAATAAAATTCGCAAACTTAAAATTGTGTTTTGTTTGCTTGTTTTGTCAAAGAAAATGTTTGCCTTCACACTCACGAAAGTTACAAGCAAGGTTGTCAACAGATATAATCATGACATCCTGATTTATTAATCAATGTAGAGTGCATTTTTATGTACAGACATGGGTGAGGCTCATAACAGACACAAGAGAAATATAATTATGAAGACGTGTATATAGTGTCGATTTTTAAAAAATGACAAACGAAAAATAAAACTGAGTTTTTGGATGTGGGGAGGAGAGCACATCACGGTAGCCAATCACCGTCCTCCCCGTCGAGCACTTTTCCAAGGTTCTCCTTGTTTCTCAGGCTGCTGAGCAGCAGCTCCAACGTCCTGACGACGGGCATCCCATCGCTGCCCAGAGCCTCCAGACTGCTGTGCCTCTTCCCAAAGCGCCCAATGGGTCTCACCCCACGCCCCACATACCAGAATGGATCTATCTCTGGACCTGGAAACCAAGCAGAGACAAGTTTATCAGTGCCACATAAAGCAAGGGATCCATACAAGATGTTAACAGCTATGTTTGAAAACAGAATTAATATTTAGGAAAGTGGTGGTTAAATATTCTGTTAGTGGACGGACTGTGAGGACAAATACTACTATTACAGCCACAAAACGGCATGATTTTGCCTTTTTCCCCCTCCCTTTTTTTAAAAAGATTGTCTTTTAGTGGCTATCATTCAGACTTAAAACAATGGCATTCTGATATATTACCATGTAAAGTCTGAAAGCCTTTCAAATTAACTGCCAAATATGTTTTCAGTCTTTAAACAACTCCTGAAACGCATGAATGCTCACATCTGTTCAGAACGTTTAGTGTGCAACAACACAGAAGGCCGATCAACAGTATTAATAAATTAACAAATGCGTTTCTATCAAAACATTTAATTCAATAACAAAATATCCAGCGTGGGGAGCCAGTATTAGTACTCCAATAATGACACAACAACATACTGAATTTACATTTGATGGCTGGTGGAAGGTGAAACCCGGTTAGCATTTCCTCACTCTGAATTAAACAGTGTGTAATTAACCAAATCAGTTTAAAGTCTAATAACAGAAAGTCTCCTGGTTACACTGACAGACAGCATATCTTTAAACTTAATAACTGGAAATAAAGATTTCAATGGATATAATAGGACTATTAAGAAATAATTACATTAGATCTATTGAATTCCATACACTCAGACACACACTTTATTAAATTGTGGTTGATTTAATAAAGTGTAATAGCCTATTTAGCTTTCTTTTTTTCTTCTTTTTTTTTTCTTTTTGAGCGCGTAAATCCCATCTGATCCTTATCGGGAAAGTCAAATCGGAATGATTTAAAGAAAACGGGTCTTACTTCTGTTGTCTACATTATGAACAATGTGGAAGTCGTGCTCCACTGTGGTGCTGTGAGCGCGGCTGAAGCTGGAGGAGAGAAGGAGGAGCAGCGCCAGAGCTGCGGGCAGCCAACGGCTCGTCAGGACGCAGTGCCGGACATCAGCCGCTCTCACGGGCAGCATGCTGCGGTGTCGCTCAAGGCACTAAAGACAGGACGCAGTTATAAGTAACTTATCACTTTTGAGAAGACACTGAAAACAGGAGCTATTCGCAAAACCAAGAAAAGACAGAGCTTGATAAAACTGGAGATTTGTTTTTAATGTGCCTTTTTTGCGCCCAATAGTAAAACTTAACGAAACACCGTTTCAAGTAGGATTAAGTCTTTTAAACCTCGGGACTAATCACTGAAACTGTAATCTGAAAACTTGAATTTCATCATTCTTAATGATGATAGAAACTTTGTGATGGTTATAAATCAGAGATCCTTTGGGATTATGTGCAGGTTGAAATAGTATAATTAGCCGCAATTAGCACAACTGTAGTTATTAAAATCAAAGTAAAAATATTTGCATTTTGCGTTAGACATGCAAAATGCAAACCCCAAATGGTAAATACTTACCCTGAACTTTGGTAACAGGCTGAGGTCAGTTGGTGGACGTCTTGAGTCTTTATTGTTGGCAGGTGTGCCCCAGCTTATATATATCTCCATGCTGCCCATGAGGCTGTTGGATGATGAATCAAGAACGTCAGTCAGCCACAGTGATCCCAGACTACTGGATGCATCACCCTTCCTCTGCTCCTCCCACTCTTTAAACCCCCACTCATCCTTTTGAGAATGGAGGTTTGCTTTCAGAGTTTTCCTGACGTCTGTCACGCAGCAGAGCAGTCCATCAGCAAGTCAATGACATGCAGACACCTTTAAATTCATGAACATGGGGAGACCCACCAGCCCAAGTAGGTCTGTGAGACAATGAACCGGAGCTTTGGTGGGCGTTTTATGATTAGCCTTTCATCAATCAGCTTGATAGGGACTGGGTAGCACACCATCGGCTGCTGCAAAATGCTTCTTGGTTAAGATGTCTTCTCACAAGCTTTTGGAACTTCAGTGATTCATAACGGGCGCTGAAAAGTACACTCACAGTGCACATGAGGAAGAAGTAAGTGGAAAAATGCTATATTTGCCACTGGTAGGTACTGAAAGGTGACAGTGAATCACAAGTGAGATGCTATGCATGGTGAGGAGAAATTTTCAAATGTATTGAGGTGTAAAGCTGCCTTGGGGCCCAAACCAGCATCTGTAAAGGTCAAGAAACTGTAACACAAACTGCTTTGAAGGTGTCCCTAACAAGCAGGTGTACTTTATTCAAACCAAAAAAATACAACTGTAATTTTTGTCAGTTATGTTACAGTATGCATCCATTCAAATGCACATCAAATAATTATTAAACTCAATCTAAAACTACACAGACTATCACTGATAGCACGTGTTTATGTTCACGTACACAACTCCACCCTGCGGCAGCACTTTTGTGCTCCTCCTACCGATTAGAGCAGCCATAATTGCGTCATGGCTGAGATCAGATTGTATGTTGCAGAGTGCGGCTGCAGTAATGAGAAGATAACAACCTGAGGATGTGCAATTGCAACACAACGTGGAAAAATCCATAAATAATGAAGCAAATTAGATTTATGACAGGGAACCCTTATTTGCTGGTGTCACCCTTGGATGCATTTTGCAGACGAATACATTTAAAAAGGGCACAGAAAAATGTTCCCAGTTCCTTGTGCGCAATGTTTTATCTCACTGCTGTGATGGGTGTTAGCATTGTTTTCTCCTGCCCAGATAATTCCAGCTGCACATTTTCCTGCCTGAAAGAAAAAACACACGACATTGCAGTATCTTTAATTTTAAACTTTTCTCTCGTGACTGTGGGGTCATAGGTCCCCGAATAATCGCTGATTAGCTTTCTTTGTGTTATAGAAGTATTGATCAAGTCACAGCACCAGGTAACCAGCAGGGCTTCCTTCTCCATGACACGCTATGCATAATATAGCTGAAAGATCAAGATATGTTAATTATTTATAAATGGCAGCCAAGTGGAGTCAGTGGCCTAGTGGCCTAATGGA